ACAATATTTTTGGTCAGTTTATAATGTAATACATTTCTCATAATGTAATAATTGTTATTATATTATGAGCTCAAGATTTTATTACATTATGAACATTTTATTACAATAATAATGTAATACTTATTACATTATGTGCAGTTATTACATTATGAGTTGCTACAGTGTTTTTTAGGAGTTTAACTTGCAAATGCCAGACCACTGATTCGTCAAACCTGCTTTCCTGCAGTCCGTGTTCTTCTGACTTCTGACTATTTTGTAGTAAGTAACGAATATGCTTCGGGGAAATATATTGGAGAAAAAGTATACATTTTAATTAGGAAATGTAGTGGAGTAAAAGTAAAAGTTGGCTGAAATATAAAAATTCAGGTAAAGTACAGATACTCCCAAAAAATACTTAAGCACTGTAACGAAGTATTATTACTTCGTTACATTACACCACTGCTAATTTGACGTTCTCTGTTTTGTTTTGGTAAGTTATTTATACTGGTACTGGTTTACACATTGCATGATTCATTCTCATCGCATATTTAGGCGCACTGTTATCTTAATGGAGCATATGGTGACGTGTAATTGTGTTTGGTTCTTATATTTCCAGTTCTCCTGGAGATATCAAGGCTGCTGAATACAGGATTGGACATGGAGTCTTTGTCAATATGTGTCCGTCTCTGTGAGCAGGGGATCAATCCCGAAGCCCTGTCATCAGTTATCAAAGAACTCAGAAGAGCCTCGGACTCATTAAAGGTAGTGGATTTGCGGTGACAGTCGTGTTTCAGCTTCTCTCCGCTCATTGGTTTTATCCACTCTCCCTTATTGTGTATTGATCAAAAATCATGAATACTGTGTTAAAGGGGTTTTAGTCTTTGCAACTTTTGGGATCTTATCTATGCACAAACAGCTTGTAACACTCCAAAGAGAAAGGAAAATTTGAAATGGCATCATATGACCCCTTTCATAATATTGTATCAGTAACCTGGGGAATTAGGCGATGTCTGACTAGTCAACATTTTAAAGTGCAAATAGTTTCTGAAATGCTCCACTCCTGATCATGCAGACCATGCAGGTCACATATTGGTCATTCAGTATGTTTTCCTTGTGGAGCATGTGGGAGTTTCTGTTAAGTGCTTTTTATGGAAACAAGGTATGTTTTTGCTTGATTAGAAAAAACCTATTCAATTTCTGCCAAAGGAATCATTTTAAGCAAGTACTCTATTTTTATGCAAGCAGGTAATATTAGGCTAGATGGGGATATTTCCACTTTTCATCATTTGTTTGTCACTACTGAACTATTTAAATGAAAATAGTGAAGGCAGATGAAGTTTATAGGCCTTAAAATATACCATTTACCACTTTTTAATCTTTTTTTTTTTTTTGTCATTTCATTGACTTTTATCTTTGTTTGATCTTTTAGGCTTCTGAAAACGGCACTAGTCAAGGATGACCAGTCTAAATTACATCTATGACAGAGTGGTCCCTGTTTGAGATGAAAGAAAACTTGCACAATGCATTGTATATAAGCATGTATATATGGTTAATGTGTTAAAAAGTTGTTTTGCCTTGTGTTTGACCTACTTTCATGTGCCTCAGTCTGTACAATTGGACTGTTGTGTGTGCTCTTTTCATTTTTTTATTTAAATGTTGTGTATACTAATAGCTATAATTCATTACAATGCTAAAAGCAAAAATATGTCCTCAAAATAGATATTACCCTGTGGAACCATTTTTGTTTTTTGTTTTTGCCTCAGATTAAGTCAGTAAAATATTTTTTTATCCTAACTGTGCTCTTTTTATCTATGTGTCTATGTCTGATCACTAAAAAGCATTTTATCTGGACCTCCATGTGCGTTTGTTTTTTAACCACATGATGGCGACAGCAGTGCATTTATAGTTGGTTCACTAATACATGACTTCTGCTTTGTATTCTGTCGTAGCATTGTCATTTCAGTATTTTAGGATTAATCTCTTTCTTTTAAACATTTATGATAAAAGTCATGGCCAGGACTCTTCTCAGCAGCTCATCCTTATTTTTTTTCAGAGCAGCAAGGTCATTCACAATAGAAGTTCAATTAGATCATTTGCCAACTCATAGGTGCATTTTTGAACAGATCTGACATCAGTCTCTGGAAATGTTTGAGGTCACGTTTGGTAAGAGCACTGTGGATCTTAGATCAGCCCAAAAGGCAGCATACCTGGCGTGAGCTTCATTAACACCCAGCCGTGCTGAGAGGGAGAGGTGGCGGTGTCCTTGGTTCCTGCAGACAGGAGGCATAATGTTTCACTCCTGCAGTGAGAACTCATTTATGTGTCTGTAATCACCTCAACCTTACGTGTGCGCTTATTGCTAAATATTTACCCTGAGTCCAGTTGTTTCTCAAGGAGAGGTTTTCGGCAGAATGTGCTCTAGTTTAAAGAAATAGTTCACCCAAAAATGAAAATGCACATCACTTTCTCACCAATGGATCCTCTGCTGATAAAACCGTCACAGTAATCCACACGACTCTAGTCCATCAATTAACATGTTGGGAAAGTGAAAAGCTGTGTGTTTGTAAGAAACAAATCCATCATTAAGACTTTTTACGATCACTTCTGACCAAATTATGAGTCCTCTATCCATAATATTAATTGCTTTCTCCCATGAAAACGTCGTCTCGTCTGAATCAAAGCTACATTTCACAAAATCTTCCCAAACTCATCTACATCTTGGATGGCCTGGGGGTGAGTACATTTTCAGCAGGTTTTCATTTTGGGGTAACCTATTCCTTTACTGTAATTCCTATGATTACTTTTGCATCCATGCACTTGAATAAGAGAAGTTACGGATAGCCTTAATTAGTGGATTCAAACATAACAGGGTTCTATTTTATTTGATTTTGTGGAAGAAACGCCACCTGTTTTGAGTATGGGTCAAGGGTGCACCATCTTCAGGTCTCCATTGAATCACCTTTAACAAAGACACAAACACCAGCACCAACAGCGTGCAGAATGATTGCGACCGCTTGTTGGAATGACAGGTGTTATCAACTAAAGCGGACCAGGCGTGTCTCTTCATGAGGCCGGCTAATGATGCGCAACGATGGGGTAGTTTATTCCTCACTGTGAATTAGTATCATAAAGGTTGCCACAGTGACAGTGACATCACTCATCAGTACCAGCAAATAATTTTTGTTAGCTATATTTGAGTGACCATCAGTCTCCAAACAATATGCATCTGACTCCTACAGCACTTTATTAGCGAGTTTGTTCATGGTCAATTTTTTATAATCGATTTTTTTTTTCCAAGACAAACACCAGCAAGAGTGCAAAGTGAGCCTACACTGACTTAGGTTAATTGAACTTCTAAAAAAGGATGAAACTAAATAACACAATTAAGTATTCTGAGGTTGATGTGTAATTATCATATTCCCATCCTCTAATTCATGCATTAATTGCTTTAATTAGCAAAGCAATTAAAAAAACAATGCTTAGCTCTGTAATAGCATCCACCTTCAGTAACTATTTATGTAAATTCCCTCGTGTTTGGTGTAGGTTAATGAAATGTTTGTTATTAAATGGGAATTCTGTGTGTTCAAGTATGTAATTATCAATAGTTTAGCTTTAAATTTAATAATTGTGTTTTAACCTTCTAAGTGATGCATGCAATGCAACAGGGTTCTTTGTTCACAGGTATGTGATAAACAACTAGTTTTAATCTAAGGCTGATGGAAGTGACAAGACCCTTGTGCAAGGTTAATTGAAAGTTTAAAATGTATAATTATAGGTTAGATTCCCATTATTTTTTAACACAATTCCTTAAAAAGAATGGGGCTGATGACCTTTTTTTTTTTTTTTGGAATATTTGCTCATAGACATTTCACTCTCTTATGAATTCATATTTGTATGGCTCTTGGACTCTGCATCTCTAAGTTTTATCTCCACCATACGTTCGTTTCAGAATCGTATCCGCCAAAGTAAAGTTCCAGTATCATATTTTAAAGTGTCTACAGTAGCTTATACATATACCATTCAAAAGGTTTGGGGTCGGAGACTGAAAAAAAGATAACCTAAATATGGTAACATCTAAATAGACTAGTTTAATTCAGGTTCAAAATGTTATTTAACATACATCATTGAACTAACCTATAAACATCAACAAAACACATTTTTATGGGTTAAATCAGGAAATAGCTCAATTGTAGGATACCACTTTTTACAGTGTAATAGCTATTTTTGAAAGAAGTCTCTTATGCTCGTCAAGGCTGCATTTATTTGATAAAAATACAGTAAAAACAATATTATTGTGAAATATTATTACAATTTAAAATAACTGTTTACTATGTAAATAGGCTATAGCAGGGGCGTAGCCATCATTTCAGAAGTGAGGGGGACAGAAATGTTTTATATATATATATATGAAATTTCTGTAATCTATATAACCTACCAGTCAACAGTTTTTGAACAGTAAGATTTTTTATGTTTTATAAAGAAGTCTATTCTGCTCACCAAGCCTGAATTTATTTGATTCAAAGTACAAGCAGCCATTAGTCCAGTCTTTAGTGTCACATGATCAGAAATCTATCTATTGCCAAATTTACACTGCAAATGTGACAGAAGCACTTCTGAATTGGAATTTTGGTATTTTTATACAGACAAGGCTAATGCTGCTCAAAGGTGGTATAAATTAATTTACACCGCAATTAGCCTACAACTTGGCTGTGTCAAGACGTCATCTATCCAGGCCTATCTATCTATCTATCTATCTATCTTTCTATGAAGAACATATATGGGAAACGGCTCAACGTGATTTGTCTCCCAACACACATCACAAACCACATTACAACGTCTCAATTAGCGTCGATTAATCTTTGCACAACTGCCACACCTGTCAAAAGACCTCTAAGAGAAAAGTAGTCCTGCTTTTCTTTCACGCTTAATAATATCCTTTACCCTCTCATGTGGAATGTCAGGAAAACTCCACGTCCGACAGACTTGAACTCTTCCGGATGTCAAGCCTGTTACTAACTTCATCAGAAGTGCATCAATTCCCATTAGCTGCAAATGAACGTCACCCATTTGATCAGCGGCGCCGTTGAAATGCCACTTCGACTCTCATTAACCTCCGCACCGGACATTTACCGCGTGTCCGAACCGAGCTTCCCACTAGACAAGCAAAAGGGGTTGATAATACCAATGCTCGTGTTGTGACAGCGCTATTTATAATGATTAATGATCCCGTGTTTTAGTTGATTACAGTGCCGCCGAGTCTCCATACTTGTTTCAATTAGTGTTGTGAAGGTCGCTAAATAATCCCTCACCCCTGTACGCATAATCTTTTTCCATTAATAATCATACAATGCTTTCTGCCCTCGTGCTCATTTGAGTCACAGGCTCTGCTAAAGGAAAAGACATCTTCAAGTACTACTGCTTTAGACAGGAAATATGATGATGATGTTGATGATGTTTGGTGTGCTCTTCCCAATGCTGTGACTCATTGACCTGTTCCCTCAAGGGATTTCTCAATTGGGCTTTAGCATATAATACATTGTTATTTGTCTAATTAGAGTGGATGGAATGATATTTAGGCCTCATGAATTTGATCTGCTACCGAACTCGTTCTCTGCAGGCTTGAGTGGGTCATATATTATTGTCGACAGGACCAGAAGCAACCTGTCATTTTCTATTAGGCCCAGTTCGTTGAACTGGACACAGAGTTTTAGATGCGTAACGCATGACTATATTTAAATTATTTTTTATGTGACAAGATCTATGTGGCCTGGAAAATGCTGCCAACTACTATACATTGCCTTGGGGCATATTAGGCTATTGTAGCTGAAAAGATGTGGTGCTTCTCACATTTTTTCTCATTGTTGGCCCACAAAATATGCTGGAAACCCTATGTGCCCCTTATATTGAGGGAGTTTCAGATGTACAAGTGTCCCTTCATGTAGTATGCTACACATTTCTATAGGAGTTACAACTATTCTCTCTAAAGTTTCTTGAGTTTTGTGTGGACCCGGACATTCAGATAATAGGCAATTCATATAAAGAGTGCCAGAGGAATGAGACCTAAAACCTGGAAAGTGCAAGTTTTTTTGGATAAATGCCTGAAAGAAGGTCTGAAATTAACACAAGCTCAGATATTTATTCTACACCAGCAATACCCCCCAGTTTTTTAAGCTTTTACGTGTCTTGATAAAGGCAGTTGCTATGGTTTTAACAAGTGTCTAAACTGGACTTACAGAGGTTGTTTGGTGTCGGACATCATCACACTGAACAGGCAAACTCATCTACTCACAAGTCCGGTTTTGCAGCCTCGTTGTGTTCATAGTCACACTCTTGCAAACCACTCTGAGTAACTCAAACTTTCTAAGTAACTCAACCAAGAATCGGAATCTCAGTGGTGATGATGATGTCAGTTATGCATTAGTTATGACGTTATGCAACCATAGTGTGGTTATAGGCTATCTTAAGCTTTGTTGCATTTAGTAATGTAACTGTAATGTAATTTAATTGTATCTGTGCTTTGCAATTCATACAAGTTGAGTTTATTTGTGAAGATTATCATACTTATTTCCAATTCAAAAGTCCAATTCAATTAAAAAAACTAATATTTTCTCTGGCCATGGGCCATAGTTTGCCTATGTCTGTCCTAATGTATTCATTGGATTTTCAGATTTCAGATAATTCTCAGGCCATGCTGACCAAACGTCTCACATGTAAAGCATCAACAACTTTGACTTGAGTGTGAATCTTCACAATGTTTTGGCCTTGAAACTAAGCTTTGGTTACAGCGTAACTTTTTGGTCAAAAGAAACTAATTAACTAACTAACTAAATAAACAAATCAATAAACACAAAAACAAATAATGTTAACACATGTCATTTGTTTAACAAAAAGGTTCTAGTTCATCTTCCTTAGAAAGCTTCTTCTGGTCCCTAAAAAATTTGAATTAAATATGTGGGTTTTGTGCTCCAAACTAAATTATATTATCATATTTTTGTCATTTAAGCAAGTTGTCATATATTTTTAATATTATATTTTACATCACTTAAAGGGGTCATATGATGCTATTTTAAAGATCATTATTTTGTGTATTTGGTGTAACAGAATATGTTGACATTGTATTTGGTTAATATAATGGTTTGTGGTTGTTGTGTTTTTAAAAAATTTTTTTTTTAGAAGCTGGTCCAGGATCACCACAAAAGAGCAACTTCCTCCCAAGGCCTAACTCACTCCACTGGCCCGCACTAGCACTGCGTCTTTTATCTGCAGCTTGCTCACTGCTGTAGCTGAGTGAAGGTTATTTGCCAGCTGAATGACCCCTCTTGTTTAGGTTTGATGGATGTTGTAGAAAGTGAAACCAGCAGGGGGTCTAAGGGGCAGAATGTGTGTGTGTGTGTGTGTGTGTGCGTGTGCGTTTTTTTGTGAC